AGAGAGTCTGTAAAGCTATTTAGGTTCCTGCTGTCACCGTAGAGCCTGATAGGGACCTGAAACTGTGTAAAGAACTGCATTTTTCGTGACTGTACAGGAACATTTTATAGCCTACAGTAAGTGTAGAGACACTGTAAAGCTATTTAGGTTCCTGCTGTCACCGTAGAGCCAGATAGGGACCTGCAATTGTGTAAAGAACTGCATTTTTCGTGACTACAGGAATATTTTATAGCCTACAGTAAGTGCAGAGAGTCTGTAAAGCTATTTAGGTTCCTGCTGTCACCGTAGAGCCTGATAGGGACCTGAAACTGTGTAAAGAACTGCATTTTTCGTGACTGTACAGGAACATTTTATAGCCTACAGTAAGTGTAGAGACACTGTAAAGCTATTTAGGTTCCTGCTGTCACCGTACAGCCTGATAGGGACCTGCAACAGTGTGCAGAACTGCACCTTTCGTGACTGTACAGGAACATTTTATAGCCTACAGTAAGTGTAGAGAGACTGTAAAGCTATTTAGGTTCCTGCTGTCACCGTACAGTGTGATAGGGATCTACAACAGTGTGCAGAACTGCACTTTCGCAGACTGGCATATACCGACAGAGAGGAATTGCATGGATTTATGTATTATTCTTGTATTCTAGAGAGACCTTAACGTTTCTGAAGAATACGGGATAGCCCAAAATTCAATTAACTGGTTAGTAAATTGTATACTAAAGTACATTAGATTTTTGTTGTTATTTATTGAATTTACAGTAAATGCTCGAAATGAGGTCCTCCCTGTTCAGAGCACAGCTCACAACGCTGTGATACCGTACTACAAATTGACTGGGAAGTTAAAATCCGAACATTCCAATTAACACGAAAGAATATTTTATGTTAACTGACTGTTAGACAACTTTGTATAATGGAGAAGACTGATGCAGCATAAATTTGTTCCATGTAGAGGACATGCCATCTGAGACCGCAACAGGGAGGAAGAGATTATGAGAAAAGTGCAAGTCCATAAATAAGTGTATTTAGAGAAAGAAAAAACCGAGAGGAAGTTGACTGGACGAAATCTGAGAGGATGAATAGAAATAAAAGAGATTTTAAAATGTTAACAGAAAGGAAACAGTGTAGAACTCTGAAATGATGCAAGGTTTCAGCAGCAGATCTCACCGAGTCCAATACTGGAAAGGCTGATGATGATGCGAGAGCGAGTGTACAGTAAACTTGTAGTTGGGAGCGGATGGTCTTCTGCTTGATCATAATCACACTTTGCTCAGGCCACAGTTCAACATCCTCTCGAGACAGGGGTGTGGTGACACAGCAGGTTGCTTCAAGCGGCAACATCTCTGACTCGTATACGGTGGGTGGCTTTTGAAATCTCGGCCGGGACACCGATTATCCTGACGAGTTATTCATGCATTTACTCAGTCCCTCCCGCCAAATGACGAGATAGTATCTTACGGTAGGTCACGATCGCTTCATTTCGTGTAACTTTCAACTTCTGTTTTAGTGATTCTTTCGACGCTGTATTGTCAGGCTTACTCAGTGCAACGTGAAATAAAAAGGTAACGCTATCTCTATAACAGGCCGTGGAGGCTCATAAGGTTGTGAGACTCAGAGGCTTCCCACATTTCCTAAACATTCGGCTCAGAGATTGCGGGGAAGTTGTCAGCCTTATGCGCCAGCCGGCCACCATTTACCCCCAGGAAGATTCCTGGTACTCATTCCTGTCAGAGGCTGAGTCGGCTCCAGGGCCATAGTGCGGCTGGAAGGATTAGGTCAATTGAAAAATGCAATGAGCTCATTGGGAATCGAACCCGCGATCTTCTGGCTTGTAACATAGTGCCAAGAATAAATAAAATTATAATCGAAAAGTATTGGCACGTGTTTGCTAGGCAACGAGACAAGAAATTGTGTGGATTCTCGGATTTGATCGAATGTTTATTGGCCAGTCACGTTTACACTTACTACAGTTATTCACAACTTATAACGTCTTCGGACGTTTCCTCTTCAATGTTACGACACTCTCGCACCGCTATTCTTGGTGAAGTGTGTTCTGCTCTAGCCGGATGAGAAATCTTCTGTTCTTTTGCCTAATACCAACTCTTGTAAGGTCAAATAAAAATGAACTAGTCTCTTGTTGGAGTTGGACTCTTATAACTTTCACTCGGACTCAATAGGGAATACCATGTCGAAGGGTTAACCTCGCCCGCTGCTATGCAAAAGCTGCTCCAAACAATTCGTGTGTTTACGGTGGAAACTCCACTGTTAGATTGCTAGCCGTTGCATAGCAATGGATGCGTTCCAATTCCTAGCCGTTGTAGCGGGTACGTCGCTCGTTGCCTAAGAAATCAACCGTGATCTCAACCATTCCGGCTTTCTTGCAGCACGTCACAGTATTAGATCCTGGGAGGTGACGACGTATAGTCTGGTATAATTTTACCGATGTTTCAGATTAATATACGGGGTATTGCCTGCATCTTCAGCAGAAGGATGAGCTCGGTGTTTATTTTTTGCTGGTTTCTTGTTTTGCTTATTCTTCGATCCTGATTATAGAGGCAGTATGTATCTCCGAAACGCCAGTGAGCTTCTGCTTGACTACATGGCGTCACAGTCCAGAATTATTACTTTTCGCTATATAATTTGAATTACTGACGGCATCATAAAATAAATTATAAACAGACCTTTAGAGTGACGGGCAGCGACCAGACGAAGATTATAATTTAACATTAAGTTCATGGCCGTAGCATTCGAGGATAAATAAACAATGTAAATATCGCCAAATGTAACTGTTTAACAGATATATTGGCTGCTGGATTGGAGGTTCTCTGGGCAAGACTGTGAATAATACGGCCTTCTGGATTGTAACACAGTGCAGTTCGGAAACAGCACAGCTTCCCGACTGCTTCTGTAAGTATCTTACTTGGCTTACTCTTTAAACCTGACGATGGAGGCGATACTCTCCACCGAAATGTCAAGCTGTCTCCGAACTACACGGCGTAACATCTCAGAAGACCATAGTTTTCAAGTAAATTTCTTATCTTAGGCGGGACCACGCGGTAGCTAGTTGGCTGAGACATTGTGCTACAAGCCGGAAGGTCGCGGGTTCGATTGGAGATAACCAGATTTCTTAGTTGATTTAATCCTTCCATCCACACTATGGTCCTGGGGTCGACTCAGCCTCTAACAGAAATGAGTACCAGGAATCTTCCTGGGGGGAGGGTAAAGGGCGGCCGGCTGGCGCGTAAAGCTAACTGCCTCACCGACATCTGTGAACCGATTGTCTAGAAAATGTGGGAGCCTCGACGTCTCACAACCCTATGGACCTCCACGGCTGCTAGAGGGAGAGCTGTACCTTTTTTATTGTTTCTCTAAGGCTACAAGTGAATAAATCGTGAAGTAGCAGTAATGAAAGATAATGTTGTAATCAGTGTTATTCTGTGTTCTAGAGCCATGCAACTGAAGATGACCCCTTACGGGTTCGAAAAAATATAGGGGAGTAAGGCGATAACAAAAAGAAACAAATAAAATGCGAAATTCCACCCTGACAACTAAAAATATCTCAACTTTCTCATACTTTCGTTAGTTAATTTGTATCTCGTTTTTGTTTCGAAAGAATATGGCAGTTGACATATTCCATTACGAACTTGTTTTCACCTCGTGTTCACACGTCAGTACGTTTTCCGAAACACAGCGAATTTGTCAAGCGCACATAACGAACAGTTTCATTTCTAGTTAATTCAGTCGCGTATATTGGTGTTCCCATAAGGCTCAGATTCTCTGCATACAGAGTGTGCCTATTTTCATAGATTCTAATCTTCTCAATATCATCACCACTACTAAAAGTAAGTAAGTAAAGCTATCCATGTAACAGGCTGTGAAGGCCCATGGGGTTGTGAGACGTTGAGGGTCCCACACTATCTACACAATCGGCTCAAAGATGGCGGTAAGGTTGTCAGCCTTACGGGCCGGCCGCGCTTTACTCCCCAGGAAGATTCCTGGTACTCATTTCTGTTAGAGGCTCAGTCGACCCCAGGGCCATAGTGCGGCTGGAAGGATTAGGTCAATTGAAAAAATCCACCTCATCGGGATTCGATCTCGCTACCTTCCGGCTTGTAGCAGAGTGCCTCAACCAATCACTACTACCTTTCTTTTATCTACTTTCATGCTTTCTTAGTTTCAGTTTCCCATTTCCCTTAAAATCTCAAGTAAGATTGAGCCTAACTCAATCTGTTCTAAGCAACAACCCCGTTACTACTTTCCTGTACTCCCCATCCTCGTTTATACCCAGCCATTTACTCTATACAAATTCGTGTCCGAACACTGAAACAGTACATGTTTAGCATTCCCTCCACCAAACGTAGGAGTACACATTCCTTTATCATGTCGTTTCCTTATCCCTCTTCGATTCTCGATCTCTGCTTTCAGCCATGTTATTCAGATCCTCCTTTCCTGTGCATCTGTCGATGTAATTCTGCTTAGTTTCTTGGGGTGGGGCGAGACTGAGTCCACTTGTTACGTCGACCGCTAATTGGACTATTGTACCAGCCCCGGATGATAGATGAGTATGGAGAATTTTGTGAGAATTGACAGGGGAAACAGAAGTACTCGGAGGAAACCTGCACCGACGCCGCGGTGGGAAGCCGGCGATTAACCTCCTGAGCTATGGCGCGGCTTCATTTCATTTCATAACACGATTCCAAAGAAAGCTTTTCCCATATATTCTAAAGAATAGTAAATAATTTTAGGACAGATCACATAACATGATTTACACCCAAGCACCTCTACGCCTAAAAACGACCTGAACATTTAGAACTGCTCGGTACTGGTCACAGATCTGGTTCAGAGATGGGAAACCAACACTAATTTGGATCATCAAAGGATTATTAAGACAGATTAATGTTCTTTGTATTTGCGGGAATCCAAACACTCTTCGAATGTTAACAGAAGTCCCGCGTATTGTTGCAGGGACCTATCAGGCTGCAAGGTGACAGCAGGAACTTAAATAGCTTTATAGCCTCTCTATACCTACAGTAAGCTTTAAAGTGTTACTATAAAGTCACGAGAAATGAAGTTCTGCACACAGTTGCAGGTCCATAACAGGCTATACGGTGACAGCAGGGACCTAAATAGCTTTATAGCCTCTCTATACCTACAGTAAGCTTTAAAGTGTTACTATAAAGTCACGAGAAATGAAGTTCTGCACACAGTTGCAGGTCCATAACAGGCTATACGGTGACAGCAGGAACCTAAATAGCTTTACAGCCTCTCTGCACCTGCACTAAGCTATAAAATGTTCCTGTACAGTCACGAAAAGTACAGTTCTGCACACTGTTGCAGGGCCCCATCTGGCTGCACGGTGACAGCAGGAACCTAAATAGCTTTACAGCCTCTCTAAACCTGCAGTAAGCTATAAAATGTTCCTGTACAGTCACGAAAAGTGCAGTTCTGCACACTGTTACAGGTCCATAACAGGCTGTACGGTGACAGCAGGAATCTAAATGGCTTTACAGCCTCTCTAAACCTGCAGTAAGCTATAAAATGTTCCTGTACAGTCACGAAAAGTGCAGTTCTGCACACTGTTACAGGTCCATAACAGGCTGTACGGTGACAGCAGGAATCCAAATGGCTTTATAGCATTTCTATACCTGTTCCTGTATATCCAATAAAAACTAGCGAAAATCGTTCGCCGGCTGCTCTACATTTTTCGAAGTCACGTACGATGTTACCTACGAACTTACCAGAAAATGTGTGTGGATACAGCTATATAACTATATTTTGAATAATCCTTAAGAATTCTGTATCCGCCTTACAACAGGTCAGGATCCAACTTTTCGGAAACCATGTTCATTTCGAAGACCCTCAACGTGCCACGGGCATGCAGTTGGTTATCCCTGCTGTAAGACATATAGACGTGATGATCATTTCATGATAGGTATGTATGATTGTATGGATGACTCCCCATAGCAGAGGGCTGCGTTAGGCATGTTACGTCTGGTGCATTCATGCTAGGCCAAGTCCTATTAACTTCAGGACATTCAACTGCTTGAGACGATTAGCATACTGTACAACGTGGTCAATATGTTGCTTGTTTCCAGCGTGAGCAACTTGACAGCTGCAGTAAAGCACAGCTGATTCTATTCTCCCATCCACGAAACTTGCTTAAAGCAGCATCAAGGATATTACATTCCAATATGTGGCGTGACAGAATGTAGATACAAACTGCAAGACCTGTAGGATAAGGAATACTATATCTGTGATGTGACGCCATGTAGTTTGGTACAAGTTTAATCAAGTTCCGGACTGACCTCCCTTATCAGGATCGAAGAGTAAATCATCAACAT